TATATCTTGATAATAGGTTCCTTTAATGACTAATTTCCTTTCCCTCCACTTTATTAATAAATTCTTCTTTGTGAGAACAATGGAAAGACAAATGGAGGGGCAATAGTCATTGTATAATTAACTTTCATTCTCCTTAGGCACTCTTCTGTGATATTTGGGAGAAGGACTCATAATCTGAACTCCATTACTGGGGTACTCATGCTGTTCACTGGGTGGAAAGGAGATTTCTTCATCTGCCTGTTTTGCCATCCCAGTGGCTGTGCAATTCACAGTAAATGCCTGTCTCTAGACCAAAACAAATCATCTGTCGTCGGCTAATGCGTTCACTCCACTCTCGTGGCTGGTGACTCATCTGTCGTTTCTGTCTGCTGTTGTTAAGCAGGTGCAACTAACCCCACCGCCACCCTCCCATCACACACACACACACACACACACAACCCCTCCGCACCAGCTCCTACCCCTACCTCCCGCCCTCCAGGCCGACCCTGAGCACTCAAGTAACTATTAACGTCAGTGTCCTCGTCCTCGTCGGGATGTGAGGCAGGAAGAGTGCGCACACTCACCTCCCTATCGCTTTGTGGATGTCATAGTAATCTGTCAAACGCCTCATCTTCCTCAGAATGGTTCCCTCATCCTCCATTGGCTCTTCTGCTTCTTTTCGCTCTGGAGAAAAGCATCAACATAGGCATCTTTATTGGCTTTGTGTGTATGGATGTGTGTGTGAGTGTGTGTGTGGGGGGGTGCACACACTCATATGTGGGTGTATTTATGTGCTAGCTCAGAGACAGATGGCTTCACATTGTAATTTCAAAACACCTTGTGGTCCCGCCCATATGGTGCGGATTCAGAGGAGCAATTTTCAACAACAGCTAGCCTTTATTAGCGATTCTAAGCAGTAAATATCATCAGCAAATGGGGTAAAAATCTGTTAGCACAATACTTTTGAATATGAAACTTTTAAACTTTACACATTCCTAATCTTTTCAACTACTGTAAGAATATCGCTGGACTGCAGACCTGTATGAACTGTGAGCTCGGCCTTGCAGGAGTTGGACCCGGCCAGGTTCTTGGCAGTGCAGGTGTACACGCCGGAGTGATGGGGCTGAGCGTTGAGGACGACAAGTGAATACTCTGGGTCGTCGTAAACAAATGTGAAGTGGCTGCTCTCCGAGAGGAGCGCATCATCCTGCAGCAGATCAATCAGCTATTAGCATTCACCTAAAAAAATATCATCTGAGTATTCAGTTGAGTTGAGTTGAGTTATAGTCGAATGTTGGATGTACTACCTTAAACCACAGAATATCCGGATCTGGCTTTCCTTCGACCACAACAGCCAGATGACATGTTTCCCCGACTTGCACATCTACGTCCTCCATTATGGTCTCAAATTTGGGAGGCACTGCAGGAAAATTAGGAGGAAAAAAGAAGCTCATCTCTAAGGTGGAGAAGCACTATGGACCGCACATACAGAGTACATTTTATGGTGTTGTGGCCATTTTTGTTGAATTCTAATGAATCATAATTTGTATCCATTATTGTTTTTTCTTTAAAACAGTAAAAATATGCTTAAGCTAGTTTTGCTATTTAAATCTGTAATTAATTTTACTTTTGGAAAAGTCGGAAGTGCTTTCTGAAACAAACCACCTGTTGCCCCCCATGGCCTTTTTTTGGAGTATGGTTTTTTTGGGGAACTTAAAAGGCCTTGACAGACAGGTCTCGCTGTTGTTCAATCTTCCTTTGGGCACTAAATGAATATAAAAGCTGATGTTTTTATGCAACAGATCAAATAATAAAGACACACTTTGTCTTGTTGACATAAGTAGAAAGTTGTTTGGATTCTCACTAAAATGCTAAATTTGTCACGTGGTGCGCCTGTCTGGACTGACCTGCCATGGCCAGCTGAAGTGTGCACAGGTCGCTGCCAAACTGGTTTCTGGCCGTGACCACCAGCTGACCGATGTCCGTGCTCCTGACCCTCTGCAGCTTCAGGGTGTGTTGATCATCGTCCGGCATGCTCATCTCGCACATCCCCGGCTTACTGACCAGCACCACGCCCCTCCTGAGGTAAGCGGGTTTCAGAAAAGTTGGGAGAAGGCCACATTTACCAGTTTGCTGCACTGAGTCTTCTTTAACCCAGTAAGAGGAGACCAACTGTTGTAGTTTTGAAAGCCATTTTTTTTGTTTTGATTGTTGCACAGCGTTGTGGGCTTTGCATTATTTAATTTTCTGTGCTCCAAATGTTGGCAGTGGGTGATGAGTCTGGACTGCAGGCAGGCCAGTTTAGCACCCAGACTCTTGTAAAACATGCAGAATGTGTGTCGACATAGTCTTTCTTAACTAAGAAAGGCTTACTCTGACAAGCTGTATGTCTCGATCAGCATTAAGTACACTAATATCCCCCTAAAGCCATCATGAAAGCTTTTGAACTGTATATTTAAGTTTTTAGTCTTTAGTATAAGGGCTGCCAAATAAACCCCAAGAAGCTTGGGGTTAATATGATCCAGTTTATGAAACAGACCCTGATGAATGCTATGAAGAAATCGGATGAAAACTTTTTAATGACATCACAAGGACATCACTGGAAGGTTAATAAACTAACTTTTTCCAGGTGACAGCTGCATGCACATGGTTCAGCGTGATGGTGATGTTGGCAGGCTGGTTCTCAACCACGTACACAACTTCTGGCTTGTCTAAAATTATCGGCGCTTTCCTCAAGTACGGTCCTAGAGAAGTCAAAGGTATGTTACAAGAAAACAAAGCAAAACTGGTCCTAAAAGTAGAAATGATGTCCTTTAAGGTCGATTATCAGATTAGTGGTAGCATAAGCCTCTTAAACACACTTGATACCTCTGTCCAGCAGCTGGACTAGATCAGCGGCAGGCGATGGCTTGCTAAGCGTTTTCCCAGTGGATGCTAGGACTCTGAAAGCATAGCGGACTCCCTTTGACAGCGAGGTGACGGTGTAGTTTGTCTCCCTCAGGTTTGATGCCACAACAGACCACTGGATGGAGCCCAGAGGCTGCTGCTGGACCACATACACCAAGGAGCCGGCATCTGTAAACACACATGCTCCTTAATTACTTGGTGGCAAAGACATGATTAAGCAGTGCTAAAAATGCTGTATTTTTTCTCCCTTGAATGCAGAGAGCATGTAATCAGTTCAGTTTGTTTGTTTGTTAGCAGTCTATCATCCACAGTTTTCAAGACATCGTTTTTAAATTGTGTGTGATGGGAGATATCAATACCAGCTCAAGCTGATTTCATTTTGGGGAAAATTGGGTCGAGATTGAGGTCAATTCAATTTTAAAATCAGTAAAAACTGATTTATTACCCACAGTTTTTTATGCATCATCTTCAAACTTCACAACAATATACTAGGCCTGAGGTCACACTGGGACCAAGGCTGGCTACATATTTGACCTAGACCTTGATTGTTAGCGCCCAAGGTCAAAACTGAGCTTTTCAGGAAACCATATCAAGTAATAATAATGGATTGGATTTATAGAGCGCTTTTCAAGGCACCCAAAGCGCTTTACAATGCCACTATTCATTCACTCTCACATTCACACACTGGTGAAGGCAAGCTACAGTTGTAGCCACAGCTGCCCTGGGGCAGACTGACAGAAGCAAGGCTGCCATATCATGCCATCGGCCCCTCTGGTCAACACCAGTAGGGTGTGTCTTGCCTAAAGACACAACGACCAGGACAGAGATCCCGGGGATCGAACTGGCGACCTTCCGGTTACAGATGCTCTTCCCAACCCCCTGAGCCACAGTCACCCCTTAGTATTATTTCACGTGAAAACGCATGGAGAGAGCTGTACAACACACTTTTCATTTTTTCCAATTTGACACACTACAGCGTCACAGTGATGCCATAAAATCGTGCAAAATGACACACTGCATGACTATATTTTAAAATCTTTTAAAGCTTCTAGAAGCCAAGGCTTTGAACCAGTTCTGCTCCAATCATATGGATTTCGAAATGTACCTTAAGGTCATAGGTCAAAGGTTAGAGTCACACAAATTAGGACAAAATTTTAGCTTCAATTGGATCATCTCCAAACCTTTACGCTTTATATAAGTCAGTGGGAGACCTAAGCACTTTCTTTGTTCGAGCTCTTTATTAAACATGATTTTTCCAACACATTATATCCATCCACCTGTGTTGCACCAGCCTGCAGGTGTGTTATGAACCTACCAAGTGAAGGGTCGAGTCTCTTTGGTGTCTTCCAGCTGAGGGTTATAGTTTTTCCTGTAATGGCCTCAATCACCGGAGGCCCATCAGGAGGATCAGGAACAATATCTGTTTCCAAAAACATACATATATATTTATATATTTCACAAAAATATTAGGGAAATTGTGTATCCCGTAATGTATACCATTAAACATTGTGTATCTATGATTACCTGTAACATACAGATGAGCATAGCAGGCTGCTTTGCCCACTTTGTTGGAGATGACAGCCTTGTAAACACCTCCGTGAGCATGACAAGCGCCCCGAATGATCAGACTGTGGACATCCCTGTCTGGAGAACAGACACACAGGTTTCTTATTCGCCATCTTTCCCCCACTTTGAACGACTTATTTTTGTGTGTTTATCTGCTTACACTGAGTCATTTTGCGCTCCTCGCTGTTCTCAATGCGCCTGCTGTTGTGATACCAGGCAATAGTTGGGTATGGCAGGCCCGCCACCTTGCATTTCAGCACCGCCTCCTTCCCTTCAATGACTTCCACATCAGCCAGAGGCTGCACAAAGTCCGGCATGGTCCTCTTCTCCACCTCGTTGTCGAACACTTCAGGTTCCTCTGGGATGGACGGCATCTTCTCCAACTTGGACCTGGAGGAAGAAAAGAACAGGTCGACTTGATTTTATCACACGCATTCGCTCCATCTGAGCTATTTTTCTTTGCCCTAGAAAGCAAAAGTGGAACATTTGACTTTTTAAAAATAGTTTGTTTTCTTCTCAAAGCCTTCAAAGAATTAACAATTACACAATTAGGGATGAGATGCAAATAGAAACAAACGGCTTCTCTTACATGTGAGAGGAGACGGCAGCTCGGGGTTCTTGCACGTACAGCTCAGCAGTGCATTCAGACTTTCCGTGAATGTTTTGAGCAACTGCTGTGTAAAATCCTTCTGTGTCACTGCCAACGTGGGTGATGACAAGCGAGTGACGACCCCCCTCTTGAAGGATGCGAATGTTATCACTCTCCTCCACTCGTGACTCTGAAAGAACATTATAAAAGACAAATTAAAAAGCCATTTCTTTGGACAAGCCTAAAAAATGTAGGAACACCACACCGCCGCTTTGAGATTCTTACCAAAATGCATCCATGTGACTCTCGGAGCAGGCGATCCGCTCACCTTACAGTCAAACCGTGCCGTGCGTCCTTCGATGACCTCCAGGATGTCCAACTTTCGTGTGAACAGAGGCTCCTTGGACGGCGTGACGATCAGTTTTGCACTCGAGGTCAGCTCCTCTGTAGATGCACATGCGCCCTGTTAGTAAGTGTATCACTGAAATATGTTCAATTACATCTAAAGAAGTTGGAGAACAACCAACCAAAACCTCTCTGGTGGAGACAAAAACACGAAATGGAAAACCCAGCATAAATATAAGGTGTGATCATAAAAAAAAAAAACCTTATGTGATTTAAATTTGCCATGTTTCCACCTTCAGGTTAGACTCCTTGGGAAGAAAAGGAGCCAACCAGTTAGATCAGGTCACAGATTATGGGCCACACACATCTTCCCTTTCTGTCACTGTAAATATATTTAATCTCTGAAATATCTTAGTACAAGAAGTATAAGTGCAATGTCAACAGTATGTCTCAGTCTTTACCCCTCAACCGCAAAAGGCTGATGGCTTACATATTATCATCACCCCGTTGGCCAGTCGGAGAAGTAGACGGGCTGCATGGACACCTAAGTTTGTAAATGAGATAACTCAGGAAGGAAGTCACCTAGAATTTTCAAATTCCTACCAGCGGTTCAGAGTTTTCTGAGCTTTGAACTTGAGAGTTTTCTGAAAATCTTGTGAATGCAGTAACTCGAGAATATTCAGGATCTTGGATTTTCAAATTGAAACCATAGGCACACCTATTTAAAATCCCTGTGCATAAATTGTTGAAAAATTCTGTAGTGGGTGATGATCTATGATGTGATGATTTATCTTTTACTTTATTCCTGTATTATGTGGGCTTGGGGAGGTCTTTATCAGGAGAAAAAAAGTAAAATTTATGAAAATACAGTTAAAATTCCAAAATGTAAGCTAAGATGTAAGATGTCCCATGAGTCTTTGTAGGCCCAGTTGCAGTCCTGGGGCTTTATGTTTGACACCCCTGAATTATATCGTTTTAGGGAAGAGGAAGAAGGCACAAGCCACATTTGCGAAACGAGGCCAGTGTGACAGAAAAACTCTGTACTGTGCCTGTCTAAAACTATCTGGGGGAAACAATCATTGAGGTTAAAATCCCAGATTTGTACAGATGATTTAAAAAGAGCAGCAGCACCAGAAGATGGCTTTGAAGGGGAAATTTGCACAGGTTTTTAGTTAGACTGAAAATTTATGATCACACCTCATCTTCTGTTCAGCAACAGGGACAGCACTGCTTATGATTCACCTTTGGCAGTGCTCAGCTTGCAAGTATATGTCCCACTGTCGTCTTCATGTACTGAATTTAGCATGAGACGGCACCTATAGCATAAAGAAAAATAAATGAATGAATTTTGTTTTTATGACACCAAAAATCTGTCAGATAATAAAATGTGCTGCAGTGACAGCAACATGAGGTGGACCTACCTCTTTCCGTCAAAGTGCATCTTACAGTTGAGCAGTGCAGGCTGGATCAGCTTCCCCCTGGACAACCAGTCCACGTCCACATCTGGAGGTCCCGTGATGTGACACTCAAACACGGCTGATTCTCCAGCCCTCACTGCTGCGTCTTTTACCTCCCTGGTGATCGTCAACGCCGTTTGTGCTGCAGCGGTTGATTAAAAGAAAAAGAAAACAGCACAAATAGAGCATATATAAGGAAGAACGACAAGATATGGTATGACTAAACATTCAGTTCAGTTTCTCATCACCTACCTCTGACCTCCAGTCTGCACTCTGCCTGTTTGCTTCCATACTCATTGATGATCCTGCAAGCATACAGCCCTGCATCTGACCTCTGAGCCGAGCCGATCCTCATTTCACTGGTGCCATCTTCCATCTCTCGCACAGTGAAGTGCCCTGCTGTCTTCACCGAGACTCTGTCCTTCAGCCTGGGTCAGTATAAAGCGGCTGTCAGAATCATTTATGCTCAGGCGCGTAATGGAGGGGTGTTTGTGTGAGACAGTTAATGACCTTGATTGTGATAAAAGCTTCAGGTTTCTCCTGAGATGTCTAGCTGCAATAAAACCTTGAGGGGGGAAAAAAGATGTCTTACCAGTAAACCATGGGTTTGGGCTGGCCTCTGGCTTTCACTGACATGACAACATCTTGACCCTCGGTTACCGCCTGGTCACATGGTGCCACCTATTAAAGAATGTAAACATGATTACCCATAAAGGCTTTTAAGGTTAATCTCTAAGCTTTGCTCCAGTTTTATCAGATTGGAAGTAAAATCACATTACGACCGTGCCCAGAATGACTGCAGCTATCAAGTAATGCTGCGATGAAGCAAGTGGAGTCATGGTATGAAATGCAAAAGGATATGTCCATGGAGATTGCCATTTTGCTACTAGGAAAATGAATATTGCAGCACAGTGTGATCTTCAGATCGGAGAACAATCAAAAGAAGATTCATATTTCCATGTGCAGTAACTCATATTTTTGTCCGATTGTTTTGGGACCTGCCTGTGGCCCCAATACCTGCGTACCTGGAAAACAAGACAGAGTGTGCAGCAACACCTGACACGGAAGAGAGTTGCCATTA